GGTGGTTGAATCAGTCCATTGTTGCAGGGGGGGTTGTTTGTTCAATGTTTTCGACTGGGGGAGGCAATGGGTCAGTCCATTATCGGATGGGGCCAATATTTTTAAATAAGGGGGCACATGGACCAAACCATTTGTATTGGAAGGGGGTTGGATCAGTCCCTTAGATGGTGAGGGGGGGGTGGACTGACCTATGAGTATTGATCCATTGTTATCATGGGGGGTGGATCAAACCATTGTGACTAGAATGGGGATGGCTCAGCCCATTGTTAACATGTGGAGGTGGAAGGATGGGCCAATATTTTTAAATAAGGGGGCACATGGACCAAACCATTTGTATTGGAAGGGGGTTGGATCAGTCCCTTAGATGGTGAGGGGGGGGTGGACTGACCTATGAGTATTGATCCATTGTTATCATGGGGGGTGGATCAAACCATTGTGACTAGAATGGGGATGGCTCAGCCCATTGTTAACATGTGGAGGTGGAAGGATCAGTCCACTGGTATTTTGTGGAGGGGGGGGCAGGGATTGCTCCACTTATCAATAGGGTGGCAATGGAGCAGTCTATTCGTATTGCAGGGGAGCAAAGCAACGGAGTGGGGAAAATGAAGTGGGAATAGTTGGCCCATTATCAACACTTGGCATTATGGAACAGTCCATTGTGTTTAATGGGGGGTTGTACAGAGGGTTGGGTTTTCCTTTTGGGGGGGGCGGTGGTCAGGGAGTGGATCAGTCCATTGGTATGGGAAGGGGGAATGGATCAGTACCATTAGGAGTAAATAGGCAGGTCCATTGTGAGTGTTTCTTGGAGGGGAAATGGACTGATCCATTGTAGAACAGATGGATCCATTACAGTATTGGGAGGCAATGGGCCATTCCATTCTCATTATGGGGGGGGGTATTGAACTGCTTCAAAGTGATTTAGCCTGGTTAGATCATTCCATTGTTTAGGGTTGGGTGGGTGAAAAGGACTGTTCCATATCATTCCACTGATCCCAGAACAGAGGGGTGATGTGTGATTGTGGGTGCAGTGGAAAATCCAAAGGTCCGTCGGATGGGTCCAGAGGACCCTGTCGCCCAGCAGAGGACCTCAACTTCCATGGCTGGACTTTTCTCCCCCATCATGTATTTCTCCTCCCTGCCCCCCTAGGATTTTTTCCCAGATTCCTGCCCTAGTCAGAGCTGCCTCCTGTTGACCAAGATCCAAGAGGTGAATCTTGGGTTAAGAAACCTACTGGCCAGCCCCGGAAAGGTCAGCACGGCTGGGGCTGGGGTAGGGGACCAGTGGGCAGGGGGGCATGAGTGAGCGGCACAGGGAAAGCCGTGGGGTGGGGAGCAATAGGGGACCTGTGCACACTGTTGCCTGGTACAGAAGAAAACTAATGTGTCCTCTCCCCCTTCCTCCCGCAGGCAGACCCTCCCCACTGCTTCCCCTCGGGTAGGTGCGGGGCGCCTCTCTTCCCCACGGGGAAGAAGCAGGAATTTCAGCAGCAAGCCGTGCACGTGCTGAAGGAGCAGAACCACCTCCTCATCAAGGTAGGAAGGTGGCAGTGGGACCCCAGGGGCCGGGGAAGGAGCAGCAATTCCTACACCACCTGGGCCGGAAAGCCAGGGCAGCGGAGGATGGTCCAAAATGGTAGACGCTGCAAGTCCCTCCCTGCCTCCTTGGGCTGTCGGTCAAGTTGGCCAACTCTCCAACGTCTTCGCCCTGCCCCCTGGTGGCTGGGTTGGGTCAGATGTGGCCAGACCAAGATGTGGCCAGTTCCACCAAGGGTGGGCAAGAGCTGGATTCAAGATGGCCGCCCCCACCCAGCCCTGCCGCCCTATGGCGAGGTTGGGTTGGAGGCCTGGATTCAAGATGGCAGCCGAGGCCGTCTCCACCACGTCCTCGTGGTGAGGCCAGGGCTGCGAACGGTCAATGGATGGAGAGCTCTTCATTGTCCGATGTTGGCAAAATGGCCGCCTCACAAAGCCTCGCTGCCCGTTAAGCCAAGGGGTCCGGTTGAGAGGTGGCACCCCATGGTGGCTGCCCAGGGACGAGGCGGTGCCACGAAACGGCCACCACAGTAGGTCTTCCTTGACATCGGTTGAAGATCCAAGATGGCCGCCCGAGGGCGGGGGGGTTAGGCCAGAGATTGGCCACCCAATAGGAGCCGGGGGAGTCCATGCTCCCGCCTTTTCTCAGCTGGGGGTGGCCCTGGGGCCCGGGCGATACGGCCGCCCGAGCCCGACCGCTGTCCTCTCCGCGGCAGGAGGTGTCGGAGAAGAGCGACCGCATCGCCCAGCTGGAGCAGGAGAAGGCTGCCGTGTGCAAGCAGCTCCCGGAG